GACGGGGCCCTCACCTTGCTCCCCCTTGTCCCAGCCAAGCCACCGCGTCGTCCCAGGCGACCCGCCCGTTCCCTTTGCGCCAGGTGCCGGTGGGGACCTGGCACGGGAGGTCTCCTCCCCCACTGCCATGTCCTGAGCTCCTGCTTTGATTTGGTGGTGTCCTCCCGGGACCTTCTTCCCCCTGGACGTCCCCACGGGGGTTCACTCACCTGTCATCTGCCACCGTGGCGAGGTAGAGGCCCTCAGGGGAGAAGCAGACGGAGCGCAGGGAGCTGGTGTGGACCTCGCTGCTGTAGTCCACCGCCGAGTGCAAGGGGACATGGCTGTGGGAGGGGACAACCAAGCCCAGGGTCAGCCCCCTGCTGCTGCCAGCCCCTTCCCCGGTGCTCCAGGGCGGGTGGAGGGGCCCAAACCGGCACGTCAGAGCCCCCTGCGGCCACAGGAGGCAGGGCAGAGGCGGTGGCCGTGCCCAGCAAGGAGGGAAGGTTACACTCAGCCCCCACGGCATCGCTCTGTCCCCCCTCCACAGACCCCCCCCCGGCTCCCTTACCGCAGCGTCCTCAGCTGCTCCCCGGTGTAGGGGTCCCACATGATGACACAGGCGTCGTAGGAGGCGGTGACAAGGAGGGCAGAGTCTGGGGAGAAGTCACAGGACACCACGCTGCTCTGGTGCCCCTCCAGCCTCCGGATCAGGGTGTAGGACCTCATGCTCCACAGCAGCGCCTGCAGGACACGGGAGGGAGGGGCTGAGCCGGTGGGGATGGAGAAGAAACGCCTTCCCCTTGGGGTTTGAGGCACACGGGCTCTGATCCCAGCTCCTCCATGCAGAATCAGAACAGCCGAGGAGCAAGGGTGGCTCTGGGCTGTCCCGGGGGCCACTCAGAGGGATGAGGATGGACATGGGATGGTTCCCAACCCCTCACTGGGACTCACCGACTTCTCTCCGGCCGCAGAGCAGAGCATGCTGCAGTCTGGGGAGATGGAGCAGCAGTAGACCCACTGCATGTGGCCTGACAGCACCTGGACCTGCCGCCCTGGGGACAGCAGACACACAGGTCACCAGAGGGGAGCACGAAAGGCAGCGTTGGGCCCTGCTCCTGCTCTGCACGTGGGGCTGGGGGCTCCCCTGCACAGATCCCACGTTGGCAACTTGCAACCCTTTCCTGCACCTCCCAGGTCCCACCTGGAAGGGGATGGATCACGCTGCAATGTCACAGGACTATCCCTCTCTGCCCCAAATACTGTCCCTGAAGACCCTCTCCCACCAGCTCCCCGACCAGGTGGGTTTCTCCCTCCTCTCCCACAGCAGAGCCCAGCCTCAGCTGGGGGTGACCCAGCACCAGAGATGTCCCCACGCACTCCTACCATCTCTGCTCAGGTCCCAGACACGCAAGGTCTTGTCCCGTGAGGCTGACACAAGGATGGGGCTTCCATTGGGAGCGAAGCTCAAGTCTCTGACGACATCCTGGTGCCCCAAGAGGCTGAAGAGGAGATGTCCTGCAGAGTGGGGACGTGCTGAGTGCTGTCCCACCCCGGGGAATGAGACAGTGTCCCTCAAACACAGGCCTGGGACAGGGTAGAGGCGCTGGTGTTTGTGACAGGTGGTTGGGGAAGGATGCAGACAGGATCTCCTTCCAAGGAGGAAGGGGCAGACACCAGCCTGAAGCCATGACTGCTCCCGCTGCTGGTGATGGCCACTCACCTGTCTGCACCTCCCAGACCTTGATCTGCCCGTCGTTGAGCCCCGTGGCCAGGATCAGGCAGGGAAGACCCATGGCACAGGCGGGCTCTGTCCCCCCGGCCTCTGCCACCGGCCAGGTGCTGAAGGCCAAGCCCCACACGATCTGGCCACACTCCAGGGTCTTCTCCTTGGCCGCCCCCCGGCCCCTCGCCTCCACCTTGCTGCTGCGGCTCTTGCGCTCCGAGGTTTTGCAGCTGCTGGGGAAAGGAGGATGGCACAAATCCCAGAATCCCAGCATGGGGGGGTTGGAAGGGACCTCTGGAGATCATCTCATCCACACCCCTGCTCC